ATGTTATTGCTTGATTTTTTTTTTTTTTTTTTTTTTTTTTCTAGGAGTGCTGTTCCCCCATGGAACCTTAATAGGGAGTTTTTCTGTCTGTGTATGTTCTCACGCTTTTTACGAAGAAGCGTGCAAGATCTGTTCCTTTCCTGTCACTTTTTACAGCCGTTTTGGCAGCAAGGGCAGGTACAGGCTGGATTCAAACGCCTGAGGGTGAAAGCTAGTGGTGATGTGGCTGGGCTCTGAGTTCCCTGGGTTTGGGGTTTATTCTTTGTACCTGAAGTGCAGGCTAGAGCTACAGAATGAGAGAGGAGGCTCGTGGTGTGCGTGCGGTGGAAGGGAGAGATAGCAGGGCTCCCTGTGGCTGAAGTGGAGCAGAGGCCTCTCTTCCCTCCCTCAAAGGGATGCAGAGAAGCCATCTGAACGCACCCAGTGCAAGGGGAGACTCGAGCTCTGGGGAGTGGTGACAGACCTGAGGCAGTAATGAAACAAGGGGAGTATTTGTGACAGGGGGACCCAATCAGCTGGATGCAGCACATGGTTATTTAATGTTGATAAGTTTGAGGTCGTTTTTTCAGTTAATGTTATGCAAGAACTGGTTTTATTTACCATTGATTTATTCCCCCCTTCCTGTGGATGAATAACTGAAGTCTAGAGGAATAAACTAATGCTACTGAACTGTTAAATTATTTTGTTTAATATTACACTTTGAGTATCTTTTTCCACATAAAATCTGTTTCTGAATTACAAGCATTTTCTTTACATTATTTAACAATGTACACTGTAAAAAATAAAAATAAAAAAATAAAATTAATTGAAACTTTGGGCTTCCCTGGCCGTAGTTAGTTGTATGTTTTGCACTAAACCCAGGCACTGCGCTTCTTGTATGATTGCGCTTTGTGCTGCAATTTGTTACCTTTGTAGAATATTTAATGAAGTCGTTCAAATAAACCAAACCTGCTTTTGTTGAGCTGTGGGTTTTCTTGTTGAACAGCAGGTTCCAACCTCTCTGTCCTCTTACTGGAGTGTTCTGTTACCTAATTTATCAGTTTATCACAGGAAAGCACAAGAAACCCATTTTAATGAGATGCTTAACTTCTCAAAACCAGTGGTCAGTAATGAGCCTCTGGCTTTTTAATAGAATACTCTGAAACAAGGTTCTATAAAGAATAATTCATGGTGGTTCTGTATGAGAGGAGAGGCTGAGGGGAAGGGGAGGGAGAAGTTGTAGAGTATAAGCAGTATGATTTCTTTTATGGTTGAGACTGTCAAGAAGTTACTAAATTGCACAAACAGGCTTGGTTGTGACCATCAGGGACTTGGCGGCTCTCCCTGTTGGCAACTTTGCTAGCAGCAGATCTGTGTTTCCTTCCGGCAGTGAAGCTGGAGCAGGGCCTGCGGCGAGGGCTGGGGGAGCCCCTGTACCCCACCCTGGGCACAGAAGGGTCCTACTCTTGCACTTCTGCAGGGCCCCTTGTCCTCCTCCCTGGAGTGGAAGGGAGCAGGGCTGGACACCTGCGGTGGTGGGGGAAGGAACCTTTTAGTGTAGCTCTGAAATAGAAATTCCATCCCCAAATTTGCAACCATACTGGTAAAGTTGAAGAGTGGAACTACTTTACGGGGTCATTCTCTGCTGTAGGCTTGCAGGAATTATTTGGTATTTTTAAACACTAATTGCTGCTGCATTTCTTTCCATTTTAAGAACAGCTTCTGTTATGAGTCATGCTGCACAAGGCCTTGAAGAAAAAAAAGCAAGCTCCCAAGTTTTACTGCCCTTTTCAAAGGGACCAATCCTGAGAGGCGTGTTGGGGTGATTTATCTTAGAGGAGGCCTGGCTACGTTTGCATCATTTCCACAGTGTCAAGAAAGCTGATGCAGTTGTGTTTATATGAGACTTTTTTTTTTGGTTATAAAAGTTCAGAGCAGCTTTGAATACAGTAATTCTGAATGTCTGTATATTCCCGTCCTAACAGGTATCCAATTTCAACAGAACAGGGAGTGCATGACTCAAGCATGCGGTACGTATTTCTTCCCTGAGCTGTTCTGAATGTAGCACTGAACTGGAGAGAAACTAATGCAGTGAAATGTGAAACTATTTTCTAGATGTCTATTTATTATATTGTTATTATAAATATTATGTTGTCGTTAATTATAATTTCTCCTATCTCTCCATACTGAAGTCAATGTTTATTCTTTTTCCTGTTGAGGAGTTAAGTGGGTAGTAGAGAATCTTTTAAGGAAAAAGGACCAATTAAGTGGTGAAGGGAAAGTAGGAGGAAGAGCAATAAATGCTGAATACTTCCAATGTAGTTACATTTAGACTGCTTTAAGAGACTTGACCAGATAGAGCAGTGACTGTAAAGTACAAGAACAAGGTCTTGTTTAAAGTCCAACATTGATTCTGGGGTTGGACTAATCAGAGTTCGTGTAAATTTTCGTGGTTCAGCTCTAACTGCCAGTCCTGTGCTGTCATCCTCCTCATCTCCAGCACTGCACTTCTGAAAAATACCACTGTATTCAGCTTGAAATATGGCTTAAAAATTCTTTGACCTTATTGGAAGGAAGAGCTGTTGCTTTGCTCTGAAGTTTAAAACACACTTGAAGTTTTTTGTTGCCCCTGTTAAGGCAAACACAAGGCTGTACAGATGTGGGGGTTGTCTCTTTAGCTTCCTACCTGTAAGGAGGCAGAATGTGTTTACTTCTTTGAGCTTGTTCAACAGGAAATGAGTTTTAACAGTTTGAGGGGTTCTTCCAGTCAGAGAGGGACCTGGGGGTGCTGATTGACAGCCGGCTGAACAGGAGCCAGCAGTGTGCCCAGGGGGCCAAGAAGGCCAATGGCATCCTGGCTTGTGTCAGCAATAGCGTGGCCAGCAGGGACAGGGAAGGGATCTGACCCCTGTACTCGGCACTGGTGAGGCCGCCCCTCGATTCCTGTGTTCAGTTTTGGGCCCCTCACTACAAAAGGACATTGAATGACTTAAGCGTGTCCAGAGAAGGGCAGCGGAGCTGGTGCAGGGTCTGGAGCACAGGTCGTACGGGGAGCGGCTGAGGGAACTGGGGGGGTTTAGTCTGGAGAAGAGGAGGCTGAGGGGAGACCTCATCGCCCTCTACAGCTACCTGAAAGGAAGTTGCAGAGAGCTGGGGATGAGTCTCTTTAACCAAGGAACAACCGACAGGACAAGAGGGAATGGCCTCAAGTTGCACCAGGGAAAGTTCAGACTAGATATTAGGAAGCATTTCTTTCCAGAAGGGGTTGTTAGGCGTTGGAATGGGCTGCCCAGGGAGGTGGTGGAGTCCATCCCTGGAGGTGTTCAAGAGTAGGGTTGACATAGCGCTGGGGGATATGGTGTAGTTGGGAAATGTCAGTGTTAACGTCTGGACTGGATGACCTTCAAGATCATCAAATTCAAGATGAATCTCTGATTTTGTATAGAAGCAAAACCAGCTACAAGGGTAGGTTGCTTTACAAATTTCAGGTTTATTTTTATATTGAAAAGGGTTGAAAGCTAATTTAAAAACAAGAGTGCAGCTCCCATTCATTCTATAAAGGGCCGAAGCAAACACCGAGATGCTATACACAGCTCTGGCAGCAGTCCCTGTTGCGCAGGCATGGCTGAACATGCTGCTGCTGTGCAGGAGCCTGAAGCAGCCAAGGAACAGCTGAGGATGAGCTGTGGGCCAGGGCAGACGGCTGGGCTGCCCTCCGGGGCTGATGCTGCCACAGCTTCACAGCCTCAGCCTCGCTGATTGGAAGAGCACAGCTTCATAGGCTCTGCCATCTGACCGTAACCCACCTGCTTGAAAATCTTTTCTCTGTACTGAAATGCAACACTGAGGGAGAAAGCAGCTCTGAATTGCATCTCATTTTACATATTAATTCTCTTAACATTTCAGGCAAAATCTGTGTAGCATCAGTTTGTAATACAGCCACAGTCTAGTACTGCAGAAGCAGAAATGATTGCTTGTTTATAGAAAAAGGCATCTGAAACATGTAATAACCTAAAAATATGTTAAATTCCTGCTGGCTGTATTAAACCTTTCTGTTGATTCACCATAATATACAGAAAAATCCATTAATGCATTGAACTTCCTCACATAATTTGAGCAGCCAACTGCAGTCTTCTGCGGTAATCCCATATGGAGGTAATGACACCACCAGGTGCCTTATGTAGGTTCTAGCCTCCTTTTCTTCAGGCTTTGACTTCTGTGGGGGTTGTGCTCTGCCAAACAGGGAGACAGTGAGAAATGGAAGTTTCATAAAGCTTTTTTCTGCTTTAAAAGTGCTCCTCAATTCCTTTTCTAGCTCTTCCTTGATAGGACAGTTGGATGGAAAAAGCAGATAGTTCTCCTAGCCCACTATCATAGCATCTGCAGCCAGTCTGAGAAAAGATGAATGTTTCTCCTATTCCAATTTACTAACAGTGCTGCTTTCAAAGCCAAGAGCCATTGTTAGGCCAGAACTCAGTTATTTTTTGGTAGCACGTACCTGGGGTATGCTGGTTGGCACAGCTCCTGTTGCTCACGATTGTAGCAGATGGCTGCAATTGTGCAAGTCTAGCAGAAGCTTTGTGGTAATTCATTCTGTGAGGTGTCCTGTTACGAGTAGTCATCTTAGTCATTTGTTGACGTCCACAGGGTGTTTCAGGTGTCTGGTGTCCAGCTGATGGGTCTGCTCTTCTGTGACCCATTATCTTAAGATCAACAGTCTCCAAGGAAATGTCCCAAAGTTCAGGATCATCTAGAATGAAGGAAAATGTGATCAAACCAAAGCTGGCAGTACTGTGCTACAGGAATGACAGTAACTCCAGGACCAGCCCACTCTTTTCCCACAAGTGGTAGCAACTATAAAAGTTAAACTGTAAAGCATATTTTATGTTGATGAGATATTACAACTCTGGTGAAAAGTTTAAGTGTGAAACCCCTCACAGCGATGGATATCATTTGCCTATCACTCAAGCAAAGTTTGTATTAAGATCAGACTCATACTCACACTTTCATTATTCCAATCTCTTCAGAACGTTTACCTTTACACTAAAGAGTTGATTTAAATGCTAATGATTTAACACTATTACTCATCACTTTTTGGCTGACCTGCAAAGAACTCCTCTTCTATTGCTAGTTCCTGTTGTACTGCTGCTGGAGTGCTGTGTTTTACAGGAGGATCAGATGTTGCTGGATGAAGGCAACACAATAAGAGATTAGTATCAGAAATACAGAAGAACCCTTTCACTCCTTAACAGTGTGTGAGTGCCACCAGGTACTGCCATTTTTCTAGAACTGGTTATGTTTTGGTAGTGGTATGTGGCATGGTAAGATTCTGTACCTGATGACAGCTGACAAGAGCAACTGAACTACTTTAAAATGTTTTTTAGCCTGTTTACCCTATCCCCAAGTTCCTGCTTACAACAGCTATCCAGACTTCCCCATGAGTAAATAGCAACATGGTAGTAGCTAATGCAATGTTTATTTGCCTGCAACCACCTCAGTGAAGTGCTGCAGCCTCAGTTTGGGTGTGGCATGTTAAGGGTGCTGAGAGCAGCTGCTGTGCTGGGTGATGCCTTAGGGTGGTTGGGAAGTTGCAGTTTTAGAGCTGACATTTGTGCCACCTTAAGAACATAGAGGAGAAAAAAGTATGACAATCCTCCTTCCTTTGGCTTCAAGGGTGTGTTGATAGTACAGGACAAAAGCAAATGAAACTAGTAAGGCTTCTGTATTGAGGGTAACATGTGGCTACCAGTAGCTATCATTAAAACTGTCAATTTTTAACGTCAAGCCTTACCCTGTTTGCTGCTAGGAGTAACTACTGGAACCTGATGCTTTTTCTTCATCTGTTCCCGGAACTGTTGCTGTAGCTGTTTTTGTCGCAATTTCCGCTGGTAAGTGGCATCACACTCAATAGCTGAGGAGTCTGTATTTCTGCCCCTTCCCCCAAGTAAGCACAAAGTTAAACAGGATTTCACCAATTACATAATATGAAAAAAAAAATGCATAGAGATAACAGCCAGGAAAATCTACTAAACTAGCATTTAATGGCATCTTCTGAATTCACCCATACATGTGTTTTAAAAGGTACAGTAACTTCTAATATAGCTTATAAAATTATTATAGCAGTCTCACCTGGAACTACTTGGCTGTTTCTGATCTGCTGTCACTACAGCAGCCTCTGTCTGACCAGGCTTACAGTTTGATGCCATCTCACAATGTTGTCTCTCTCCTGTGTTCTGCCTTTCTAAGCAGCTATTGTATCTTGCTTTCTCTATTTCAGGCTCATAGTCCTGTCTTTTAGCTTTGACCAAATCTAACTCAGCAGGTATCTAGTAAGGAAAAAAAAGAAAATCTATTCAGAAATTTCCCTCAAGTTAATGAAATATGCACAAGCTTTTTTTTTTATACAGTACTGTTGAAAAATCCAGTTTGTTTGCTCTAAGTACAATAGTAAGTTAGAAAACTGAAATGCATTTTCAGTACAAAGTCATCCAATTAGTTAATCACTGAATTCATGAGACTTTGTGTTAGTTTTAGTTCAGTGCTGCAGGGCAGATAGCCCATGTCTGCCCATACTGTTCTCCCCACAAACGAGAACAGATGTAGGTCATCGATGCAGAATTCTACAGCTTCTCTGACCTTCACGTCTGTTGCTGAGTCTGCTGGCTTTACTTTCATTCTTGTATTTACAAGTGCGTGGCAAACCTTTACTCAGTTCTGCCATCATGAGGTCACTGAGGGAGGTACACCATTCTTTTTTTATTAAAGATGGGATGGTTGGCTCTGTGACTTTACAAGTTTGTGGCAATGCCACTAATAAACAATAACCCCATCAAAGCAGAGAGATGTGACATCTTTACTTGGTGAGGAGTCACTCTGGATCTGCTCCTGCAGTCTTAAGTTAGCTGGGTTGAACTGATTTACAGCTCTAGCCTGGCTAGCAGAGTTGGGTAAATCCTAGTATGATGAAGGCAACTTTATTATGAAACTCCATGGATCTGCAGCTGTAAAAGGCTTGCTTTTTCTTCACTCAGCGAAGCAGGTTACTGCCTAGAAGCCTACTGCCCCAACTGGTACATGTCAGAAGCTAAGAGGAATAATGTTGGTACTGAGGTGCAACCTCAGTAACAGCCAGGACAACTTTAATACTATGAAGAATGCTTTGTTACATCACAGCATACTTATAAATTATGATAGCTCTGAAAGAACAGGGTTACAGTATGGCTGTCACTGATGAGGATGTAATCACAATTTCTTGTCTCTTTCCTGAGCAAAGACCTCCAAAAGAGGCATTGCTCTGTGGTGTTGGTTACCTCAGAAGGCTCACTGACCCATTGTTTCACAGAAAGCAAAGTAACTTGCAAACTGAACCCTAAGGCGATAAGGAATCTGAAAAGCAAAGCAAGATGTAACATGGCTTCTTATTGTTCAGGAAGGATAAGAACCATAGTTATGGCAGGGAAGATAAGTGTTCAAGTACACATCAGTTGCACCTGCTAATTTGTTACACATTCAAGAGCTACAGTTTGCCAGTAGTATCATAGCAGGTATTTAAAACAAATACATTGGAGTGTAGATCCTCCTAATGTTATTCCTCATCCTCCAGCAGCCAAGTCCAATACATCCTGCTCTCATAATTCAGTTGCAAAATGCAGGTACTAACACATTTTTGAAGTCAAGCAGAGGATGTTTGCAGGGCCATTTGTCCACTCCTCATGTAGCAAACCAAAATAGCGTTACCTGTTTTGTCATTCTGTGGTAAAACTTTGAAGTGACTAGCAACAGCTAAAAGTTGTTGTGGGCCCAGTCTAAACAGTTTGGTTCGCCCTTTCTATCATGGATGCATATAGCAGTTTGCAGTGATCTTTTGGGGAAGAATCCAATTTGGGGAACTGGAAGTTGTAACCACCTTTAGAATTCACCTTTGCTTGAGACTTCAGTACAAACACATTGGTACAGAATAACTTGTGAACTATTCTAACAAGAACAATGAGGAGTGAAATGCACACTAAATTTTGTTACAAGGACCACACTGAGTGTATTGTCTATCTAGCTGTAATGAGCATTAGGGCCTGGCAGAGTTTGTTATTAAACAATTATTTAATTGTTAGTTATTAAAAGGAGAAAGCAATTATCAATACATATATTGACAGTGCTACTGTATGATTTTGCTTAAAATTAAGTGAAAGTTCCAACTACAACAAGCAGCGTTGGTATGTGACTCACCTGGTATTGTTTCTAGGACATTCTGTGCTACGCATATTAAAAACTTTATTTGAAGGAGGAAGTACTTCTCATGAAAAAACTTTCTATTTTCTGTCAGAGCTCCCTAAAGTCTAAAGAAGCTCCTTTTTTCCTGCTGCCCACTGGCTTATAGGCTGCCAGCTTGAGAGACTTCAGGACTACATGAAATAGTCCTGATTTTGCAGGAGTGCACAGAGGAGCTGTACCTGCTTTAGGGTAGGTTACACAGATAATAAATATACTGTTTGCCTACTCTTCTGCCCTGCCCACAGCCTCTGGTTTTATGACCTATTACAGAAACTGGAAATTGTATAACTGTATGCAGTTATTTCCCATCCTTTTTTTTTTTTATTCCTGAAAAATCCAGTTATGAGAGGAATATGACAAGTAAGTTTGATTTTTAAAATTCATAATAGTAAATTGGATTGTGCTACCACTGACAATGAGAACAAACTGAGAGATGTGTTCTATTTTTTGCCTTTTATAGGGCAAAATCATAAAGAAACAGACTCTATTCCCCCAAGGACTTCCATTTTACCTATGTCATGAATATGTAACTTGGCATTGGTATCATTGCTGATTCACATTTAAAGCAGAAGTGGCCAGATGAGGGCGATGAACTGAGTTGCTGCAACTGACAAAGCTTAAAGTCTTAAAAACTGTAGCACATGGAGAAAATGGCACCTAGAACAAGCTAGTCTCAATAGTTTAGTGTTTCCTGTGGTAATATGTAGCCTGCTACGAGCACAGATGGCACTGAATGGAGAGACTTAGACAACATGGCCATAAATCAAAGAATTATCTAGTTTGGAAAAGACCTTGAAGATCACCTAGTCCAACCATTAACCTAACACTGACCATTCTCAACCTAGACCACTGCCCCGGGCAGCCCATTCCAATGCCTAACAACCCCTTCTGGAAAGAAATGCTTCCTAATATCCAGTCTAAACCTTCTCTGGTGCAATTTGAGGCCATTCCCTCTTGTCCTTTCAGGTAGCTGTAGAGGGCGATGAGGTCTCCCCTCAGCCTCCTCTTCTCCAGACTAAACACCCCCAGTTCCCTCAGCCGCTCCCCGTATGACCTGTGCTCCAGACCCTGCACCAGCTTTGTAGCCCTTCTCTGGACACGCTCAAGTCATTCAATGGCCTTTTTGTAGCGAGGGGCCCAAAACTGAACACAGTAATCAAGGTGCAGCCTCAATGTCACATGAGATCTTGAGTAGGATACTGTTTCTTCACCACAGTAATCTTGCATACTGCAAATAGTCAAAATTTAGAGAAGCTGTGGTAAAATGACAGGGAAGAAATCTGTAGCAACACATCCAGGGATGAGATATATCGATACAATTATTTATAACCTTTTTAATATAAAGGACCAAGAGCAGTGAACATCTTGCAAGTCCCTGCTCTAACAGTCCATGTACTGCACCTGACGTGGAAGTTTATTCACGGCTTGTAGGTAGTCTTTGTCTAGAATGCAGTTCCCAAGAGCATTCCCAAAGCACCTGAGAAAAAGGAGAGCTCACTGTGACTGAAAATAACAATTCTTACTTAGCGTATGAAAATGTACAAGTACTAATCTTCACTTACTTGAGTGCTCTCTTCAGTCCATCTGTTACTGCCTCCTTTCTTGCCTTTTCTAGGGACAAGGCCTTAGACTTTAGGCCTTCACTGACACCATACCCCACATCTTCATGGTATGACCCATCCTGCAGTAAAATTTAAAAAATACTAAGTTTAAGGGAATTTATGAACATACAGCACTTCTTGTTAGATACTGTACCTTTCTAAGCCTGATTATTCACTCTTAGCTGGTTATTCTATAACAAGGTCAATGTTTTGGACACCACTGGGTTCCCTGCTGTACTACAGTACTCAAGAACCACAGTCTGACCCATGCATGACCTTTAATTCACAGCTTTAGGCAATTGTTCAACTATAGACAGAGACAACAAAAAAATCCACTTACCTTAAGCTGAACTCTCACAAATGCACAGACTCCCACATAGAACCTGCCATTGCTGAGGTCAACAAAGTCTGGGGGAGGGAAAAGTAACATCCTAAATAATATAAAAGATTTCTGATCCCCATTTAGATTTTATTTTGTCCTTTGAGGACATTCATAAACCTGTACCATACTTGCTGAATGCACCCAAGATCATCATCTATAAAATGGAGCATGACTTACAAAATATTAACTGTAGTTTGAGAAGGCTGACTTGCATATATATTCTGGGCAGGTTATGTGATACTTTCTGGTTACTTGTGGCTAGACCTGCCAAACGCTCACACCCTGCTACCATGTATAAACCTAAACATATGAAAGAAGAGGTGTAAATGTTACTTCTTATTCAGCTACATATCCTAAATGTTCAAAGCATAGCAATTTTTTCAGCTGAAAGGAAAGATTTAAAGTATCTATTTGTAAAAGTAGCAATGGAAAAGAAACTGTTGTCTATAAAAGTAATTTATTTCCTATTATATACTAGAAATCTCCAGTTTGCAAAATCTTGCACAAGGCTTTACCCAGGGAAGACTGCCTGAAAAGCTTAACAGGTTGCAATACAACTCTCTAATCTACCTTATTTTACACCAAAATAAATGCTATATAAAATGCATAGGGCACTCTAGTTAGCAGTCTTGCAAGTCTGATAGAAACATGACGTGTTCTGAAATTAAATCCTTTGAAGGTCAAGTAACTGTACACTGGGGCCCAAAAGTTCTGTACTCATCTGGTTTATTTATTTAATTGTTTTGTAAACCTGATGGAGCTGCAAGCCCTTTTTCTACCCAGGAATTTAAACCCAAATATAACAGAATCCTGTCTCCAAATTTCTAAGGAATGGCTTATTATGGTATTATTTGAAAAAGACAGATGTTTTGAGGGATGCCAGTCCTTTCTTGAGTGAAAAGGAGGAAGAAAAAAGTGGTACAGAATAGATAGAAAACAATGAACTGACTTGTAACCTACCAGTCTGAGGTAAGAAAAGACTTCTGAAGGCGGGGGGGAAGGAAGGAGGTACAATTAAGCAGTTTTGTTGAGCTACTTCAACAACCAGTCTTCAGTCTAAGCATAGCAGATCTGAAACAAAGATACTACTTCCCTGACAGGATCTATTTCAGCTAAAATCTCAGAACCAGCTGTTGGATAGAAGAGGAATCTGCAGAAAAAGATGGGTCCCTAAAGATTAGAGGAATATTAACTGAGAATATGAACTTGCTAGAATGTAAAAATTACAGGTGAGTATGAAAGTTAGCTCAAGGCTGCTGGGTGTTAAATAGTTTAATTGTAATTACTCTTGACTGAGTGTTCCCATAGAGATCAGAAAACTTGATTAGAATAGCTCAAGAATAATCATAAACACACTTAGCATAACGACTATGACATATTCCAGTGCAAGATCTAAAAAGAAAACAGAAGCTCCATTATTAGTCAGTTTCTCTGAATCTCACCTACTGCTAAGACACCTGGAAACGCCACATGACTCTCCCTAGGTTGTTTGAAGTGATCGAGTTCTCAGATAGATACCCTGGTCCTTATGTAAGAGACTTTTCCTTCAGTGCCTCACAGTGAAACAAGAGGAAAGACTTCTTTACCCACAAGAGATACTTACCAACATTCTGCTGAGTGACTGAATGAGCCCAGCCATTAAAGCCAAACATCTCATTGGCCAGACTGATTACCTTGTGACCCTCAATGTAACAGACCTGAAAAAAAAACCCTTTATGTACATAAATACATACACATGTGCACACATCCATACATGCTTTATTTTAAAAAGGGATTACACACGTTGTCTTACACTGAGGAAACCCAGCTAAATTCAAGGTTCAGATAATGTGAATAAAAGGATGATGGTGCAGCTTTAGATTCACCCTTTTCCAGCAACTGTGATGAAGGGGTTAATGTGACAACAAATATGACTTAATCAGTGGAAAGCAGAGATAGTGGGCACTGAAGAGAGTAAAATGTAGCCGATGTTGTATCATGCTTCATATACTCCAGTTCCGGGAAAAAATAAAATCATCTTAATGTTCCACAAGTACATAAATATTCTATTGTAAAGGATGACACACTGAAAAGTTAAGACTTTTTTTTAAAAGTATAAAAGGAACCTGTGGCTCAGTAAAAGCCAGAATTTATGCTAACTTTGCTTTCATATCTGCATAAACTACTAGTGGTAAATTAACTTAAAGTAAGGATTATTGTAACATTTTTTACCCTGTTTTTCCTGGAAAAAACTGTGGGTTGAAACATCTATGCATGTTTGTTCATACCTTTTGTCCTCCTCCAGCTTGCCGACTGCTGATATACTCTGGACCCAGTCTCTGACGAAGAGCATGCTGGATAGCTTGATATTCACTTGCTGTGTATTGATACTTGACAAAAACAAGGTAAGACAAATCTCACTATCCCTGTTTTGCCTCCCCCTCTTCTCCTAATGTCACTCCTTTATCCAATTTTTCCAAGTCCTTTCGAGACATGTATGATCCATTTTTAGAATCAGGATGTAACAGACAAGGAAAGACCTCAGGGTATGCATGGGCATTACATTTGTGCATTGCATTGTTTTTTTTTCTCTTACTCTTAAAGTATATGCATACAAGCATTAATTATTGAGCTGTAGCAATTATTTTTAATTTCTCAAAATCATCACTTACATTAGAAAAACTGAGATGAGCCAGGTCTACTAGTATCCTATTGAGATCTTAATGCAATCATAATCCTAGTCAAGGTTGCCAGCAACACGCATATAAGCTTGTATTTTAGCTCTCAAAAAACCCCCATAGTATCTCTTTGACCAACAAGAAAAATGTATTTAAAAGCTCCACAAAACCAAAGTTTAGCCTTACTCTGCCTTCATATGCCATCAGGGCAGGGAGGATAGCAGCTTAGGCAAGGAGTCAAATTAGGAATTTCTTGAGGAGTGTGCAGCAAAATTCCTCTCATGCAGGAAAAGTCCTCTGGCTAACTCCAACATCACTGCTGTTATCATTAGATAACACCAAAATTGCTGGAAGCTTAAAGTGTTGTAACTTATGCTCCTTGTCTTAATAGAAATACAATTTGTAAGAGTTAGAGAAACCTAAATGCATGTTTAAGGATTCAAGCACTAAAAAGCTTGTGTTGCTATGCTCTGATGTGGGACAGAACAGAGATGTCTACCTAAATCGTAAGTATTATGTATGCATGTATTGTCTGCCCTATCATTCAGCAGAACACAGAGTTCGATAGACTGTGTGCCACGTAAGTTCCAACGCCTGCCAAATCTCTCTTATTTGGTTCTATTTAAATTTAGAAGATTAACTTTTATCTTTTTCTGACACTAGAATGCAAGCCTGTAACCAAAATATGTAAGGAAAACAGGGGAGTGCACATGCCTATGCCATATTCAGGGACTATGTATAAATGCCTATCATGGAGAAGAGAATTCACAAAAGGTCTGTTCAGTCCAGATATGTTTTTTCTTTTTTCCAATTGATTATTTTAAAATTTTTTTAATAGGTGAAATTAGTTGGGTTTTTTTCTGAACCAGTACCGAGAATGTGTGTAACCACGATCCAGCCCATCTGGGAACAAGAGAGAACAAAATGAGCCCCACTTTTAAGGAACAAAATTAAAAACCTTTTGTGAAGAATCTAGAGCAATTTATTACAACTGGAGGCATGCCAAGGCTATCATGGAGAAAAATGTAATGTATAATTAGGTATGGCATAGGTAGGGTAATGGATATGACTCCAGCCTTACTGTATCCAACTTTAAAATGAGTAGATATGAGAGCAGAATTCCAGAAGCATAAAACTTCTACTTCCCCCTCAGGCGAAAGGAACTGACCTGTCCGAAGCAAGCAACTGAATTGCTAGTGCAGCTTTCGCTGTCTTTCCCTTGACCTTCAGGCATCCCTGAAGATAAGAGAAAACGTAAACAATGAAGATAACAGAACTAAGTCCATAAGAAGATGTGTCAAAAAGCTGTTTAAGTCCACTGCCCAGTGCACATAACAATATTCTGTAATAGAGATGTTGGACATTACTGTAATATTATACTTCTCACTCCATGGAACTGCTGCAGCACCAGTCAGAAATTTGCTTTCTGATGTTATTTCAAAACAGTCCAAACTTTTCTCCTTAAATATGTTATACTATATAGGCAGAAATGGCTAGAAGTAGAGGCACTGTTCTGGTTGTCCACCCATAAAACCAGTAAGGGTGACCCTAAATAAAGACAACAGTGAAACAATTATTTTATTTGAAGAATAAATAAATTATTCTTGCTAGTAAAAAATAAAATCCAACAGCAAATGGATGCTGCATAAGAACAGAGACTAGAACAAAAAAGTAATAATGTCTCAAGTCCTTATTCTAAATATTACACTGTTAACAATAGAGATTTTTTGTTTTGTTTTGTTTTTAGGTACATGTGAATGCATTGTAACATAGGTATGGAAAACCAAAATAATTCCCTCTTTCAGATTCTTTAGTGCTGTGTTTCTAGATCACTTTTAATATCCATTAATACTTAGACTATGATAAAAAAAGAGGCAACTTTCTAAAATTCTACTTGTCTATACCCTGACTTGTCAGTCTTTATTATTTTGACAGTAGTCATATTCTCTTGTGTTAGGATGTATCATATAAACTATGAAGAGTTGAAAAACATACAGAACCTGTAAGAATTTTAAGAAGGTGTACCGATAATTCAGTAGATGTCACCCTTTTCCAAGCCAGTATCCAACAACTACCCAGTACTGCATTCCCACTCCACCCTGCTGCTGGAGAAGTGCTCTTGCTGAGAGCTTATACAGCAGGCATGCAAACTGCTGCAGCAGTTCTTCTATACAAGTCCATTAAGACAATCTTTTATTGTCTTTGCACAAATGCCGAGTCCAACTGGTAGTCTATCTCTAAGACTTTTGGTTGCAATACCAATTAAAGACAAATCAATATATACACATGACAACTGGAGATGTCAAAACAGTTTGAGACAGTCTAAAATCCTCAGTAGATAGCATTATTTGACAGTCAGTCAGAACCTGGCTAGTATTATGATTTGCTAATGTACTTCAGGTTCAGCACTTTTGAAACCAAGTTGTTTTTCCAGTCTCTAAACAAGGAAGCTAAATTTTACTGAGAACATGGCAAAAAATTTTCAGAAAAAAAAGATACTAGTTGTTTCTTTGGCAAGTATGAGCACTGGTAATTATGTCAGGTATAGCTAAAATTCTCCTTAATTTTGGTTGGCTATAATTATTCCTCTTTGGTACAAAAACTGTATAATTGTACAGTGTTTATACATTTGAATGTGTTTCAATCAAAATGTAGATGCAATTTGTGGTAAATACATTTCGTTTTGAAAGAGAACAAATAGAAATTAATATTAACAGGAGAAATACTTGTGATTTAAGCAAGCTATTTCCCCTGATAAATGAAGACTCCACTACATTGTGAGGGAGATGATTAGAGAGGAAAAAAAAAACACAGTATGTGTGTTGAATGGCAGAGGGAATCAAAGTTTGAACAATCCTACCTCCCCCCCCCTGCCTCTAAGCAGGCTAAATCAGATCTTAACCATTACAATGCCTTTGGTGAAAAAACAATGCACAAAATGTGTGCATTTGCCTACATAATCCTATTACCAGTTTGCCACAAATCTTTCTGCACAGTAGGTGGGTGTCATTTGAAGCAAAACTGTTTTAATTGAAACCAGTATTAAGTCCTTCAAGTTTTTATATGGTGTATACCGTTATCAGTCTAAATTCTCTAAAGAGATACACCTTTAATGAAGCTCTGAATAAGGTGTGGGAATTGATTCTGAATGAGACAGGGGAACTACAGAATTCTGCTGAAAACAGCTTCACATCATATGGTTTTTATCCAACAGATCAGATGCTGCTAGAGAATACTAGCAATATACTTCTTCGCAATAAACAGTTTAAAAACATGTCAGTGGTTTGTATTCAAATTATGTATTACTTTACAGCTTGTGTGAAGGAGACAGATGATGTCAATTTTGTTTCAGGCTTTGCCTGTAGGAACAGTTTGCTTCAGCTGTTATTTTTTTTTTTTTTTTTTTTTTTTTTTTTCAATCAGTGAGGTGCAGCACAGAAAAGCCCTATGTCTCAAAGCAATTGTCAGAGCATTTCAAAGTGACAGAATTTTAATTTCAAAATTATTAGAGTAGGAGTTCAGAAGAGAGAAAAGTTAATTCTGCAAATTGAGCTATAAAACTACCTCAATACCAGAGCCAGGAGCTAGGGAAGGCAAGGCGCTTCCATTCCTCAACAGAAAATTGTTTCCTCACCGCCATCCCCCAATACTTCAACTCACATGAAACATTAATAGTGAAGTAGATAATAAGCTATTGACTAGAGCACAAAAGAGCCACAAACGCCCTCCAGGGCCAGGATAGTGCTAGGAGATTGCCTGACTCATAAACGAGCATTAAAAAAGCTGTATTTTCAAATGATCTTTAAATACTAAAAATTAAAGTTCAAATATACTTGATCTGCATGCAGGATGATAAAAGCAGTTTATCAGCAGCTTAAAGGTTGCTCACATTGAGCTGCTTGTCCACCAGACCCCCAGGTCCCTTTCCCCAGACCTGCTCCCCAGCCAGGCAGATCCCAGTCTGTGCTGCACTCCTGGATTATGTTTTCCCAGGTGCAAGACCTTACACTTGTCCTTGTTGAACTTCATGAGGTTCTTGTTAGCCCACTCTTCCAGCCTATCCAGGTCTTCCTGCAGGGTGGCTCTCCCTTCTGGAGAGTGTCCACTTCCCCACTCATCTTGGTATCATCAGCAAAGTTTATCAGGGTTCACTTGATCCCATCATCCAGATCACTTATGAAGACACTAAACAGCATTTGGCCCAATATCGATCCCTGGGGGACCCCACTTGTGACAGGTTTGAAAAGGAGCTATTTACCACCACGGTCTGGGTGCAGCCTGGCAGCCAGTTCCCCACCCACAGCACAGACCTCTTGTCTAGACCATAACACACCCGTTTCACCAGGAAAAGGCTGTGAGGAACTGTAATGTTCTCAGAAAGTTTTCTTATCACTGAGAAAAAACACACACAAGACTACAGGTAGTGCACTATGTTCCAAAACATTACCTTGATAAGACTAGAACAAGCAAATAATATTAACAGCTTTTACTACTACCATATTTTGATCATATTTTTTAAAAAAAGTCAATAATAGAAAAGCTTAAAATTTGGACAAATTAGGTACCCAGTCAGAAAAAATGGCCGCTTTAGGACACTGGATATAAAATATTATATTAATTTTCAACAACAATCTAGAAGTAGGTTATTTATTTGTATGGTGGTAGTGAACTGAATAGCTGTGACAAAAACCTGTGTGTGTACACAAATTCCCATATAGGAAATAAACCAAACTTTTAGACCAGATAATCATTAATTTAATCTGTTCAAGTACAACTACTACTGTAGGTTACGGCAGCAACACCCTCAACTTTCATGATAGTCTGCACATAATTTCTAATTTTCTAAATGAACATGTCCTCACAAACCTGTCTATCTTACTGTCCCTTACTTCAAAAAGAGATTTTGGTCCTAATTGATCTATTCTCCTGCCAGTTCCCCTTTGTCTTGACAGAGTAGGTTTTTGAACCCCGCACTGTGCCTTAATCCTGTGCTAGGAGTGTCAGTTCCCAGTTCTCTTCACATGTAAGGTAGAAACAGGCAGTTTCGTGTCACTTTGAAAGACTTTGCAATGAATTGTTTAAGTACCGCAACTTGGGAAACCCTCAGCTAGAACATGGTCATTTCAAGAAATTAATTGCAGAATCACACAATCCGTAAGATATGATTTTAATATACTGTGTACTTTGAGCTTTTTATTCAGCCTCATCCTTGTCTATATGGTAAGTCTCCTTCACAGTGAAGCTTTAGTTTACTGAGCAAAAATCTTAAACATTCTTTCAATAAATGCAGTTCTACTGAGCTCACCAAGAGCAAAAAAGCAATGCATGTAGCAACTAGTGATATAGCAAGCACTAAAGAACCTAAGGCTCATATTGGTCTAACCAAAAAAATACAGACAACTTCAAAAATTGTATATTTCTGTGCAGTATTATCTTCTCTACAAACTCCAAACTCTAAGCTGATTAACCTGTTATGCAAAGGTTGCTTTATCCAACACTGAGCTGAGGTGTACATCTTTTATGCAGATGATTTTCCTAATCGAGACAGGCCTGTGCTATACCACAGTTTAAAAAGAATGGAAAACAGATTACAAAATGGATGTGGGAAAATTGCATACAATGTAACTCTTCAGTTTTGACAATATCTCTAGGGAAACAGCCTTCATGACTCAAGAAAAGTGAGGTAATGTTCTGTTAACTTCAACAGAACAAAAATATATTCAGTGTTTTATAAGCTAAACAATGAATTGCACAGGGATATCATGAGACTGAATGTCTATTGTAAACTAAAGGTGGCCTCTGATGCTTGCCAATACCATATCGATGCATTTTATTGGTTGATTCAGGACACGTTCTGTAGTAAAACCACCCCAGCAAGAGAATAAAAAGGTGTAATATAGAAAGTTTGAGCTATCTGCAGTAGTTTAAATAGATTTGCTTTCAAGGCTTGTAAATACCACTATATCAATTTCTCTTCAGTTACAGCCCATCTCAGATTTGATATACCTTCAGACAGTCCCACTTATTTCAGTGGAATCTATATATGTGGCTCCAAAAGCAAAATTTAACCCTTAGATTTATCAGGCAGTACTACATTTACTTTAGGTATGTCTAGGATGATGATATCATGTCTGAACAAAACAGAAAACACTAATTCTGATTACACCTTATATTCATTAACATTTAAATGAGCATGGTGTAAAACTTTTTCTTCCTTATCTTTATACAAGCTTAGCAGAATAACATAGTGCATTTGCAGGGGAATGTTTCTATTTAGAATATTTGAATACATCCGACATCTGAAATGAAGCCCATCTGGTCAGTTCCTGCATTTTTGGAATACAGGACGAGAAATCATCTCCTTATGCTGAGTCTTCTGTCCTAACAGCCTTTATATGCTTGTCACGAATTCATTGAACATCACTATATCGCAAGTTGCTTTAGGGTCCTACTTTTCCAGCAATTAC